GGTCACACCCCCTTCAGGGTGGGGGTCCCACTGGGGTGCCTAGCCAGTCTGGGTGAGGGGCTGATGGCTATTTGCAGGCTGGTCAAGCCCCCCAGTGAGGACCCTCACCCCTTGGGGGTTTGGCCAGCCTGTGTGAGGGGCTGAGGGTGTTTTCAGGCTGGCCACAGCCACAGGCTGGAAGCGGGTATCTGGGATTTATTTATCTTCTATAATTGAAACTTTGTAGCCTTGAACAGAGCTCAGGGCCGGCAGGGCAGGCGGGAAGTTTTGCTTCCTCCAGTGGTGGGGCAACCTAAGCCTCCTGCTCTCTCCAGCTCCATGGCCGCTGCCATCTTAGTTGGGTTAATTTGCATATCTGCTCCTGATTGGCTTGTGGGTGTGGCTTTGGGGCATGGCTTGTGGGTGTAGTGGAGGTACAGTCAATTTGCATCTTTCTCTTTAATTAGATTAGATGAGAACTTTTCAGAAATAGAAAAGGCAAGAAAACAAATACTAGGCTTCCTACCTGATAAATGTATTTTAGAAGAATAGGGCTCTCTCCCTGGCTATGCCTCACCAACTCTTTTGGAGAAGATGAGCATAATTTTCTACAATAGGAACAACAAAAGTATAGCAATACCCAAAAATTCAATCTAGGCTAAGAGTCACCTAAGGATTTTTAAAAAAATTCTTATTTAACTCTTACAATAATTTTAGGACATAAGTACTATTCTAACTATTTCACAAATTCGAAAATGAAAGCACAAAAGATTAGTAGCTTTCCCTCCTGTGCAGGTACTCGGTGGAAATCCAGTACATGAAAATAAGCAGTTTGCTTACAGAACATTCCTAATAACTTGTCACTAGTAGCCGGCCATATGCCTCCTTTCTTCTTGCTGGTTCTTTAATGCTAAGTGTATTCCTTAATCCGTTTCCAATAACATGGCCACATTCACCCTAACCTATTGTTAGACAGTTGCCTCCACAAAGGGATAATCTTCCCTAGAGAGACCTATTTAATTCCTCATCCTTTAGCACTATTCAAGAGAAAAAGGACTTGAACTTTCAAAGGAACAAAATGCCATGTGGAAATCTCTCTTCCCCTGAACTCAGTTCACAATCTCCCACCCCTTCCTATATAGCAACCTATTTTAAACTCTATACTCAGATTTTCCATTCTCAGCCTTTTGGAAAATCTCTTTTACAAAAGAAAAAAAAAAAAAACATGCCCACCTTCTTATACGTAGCATACTGCAGCAACAGAGATTTGAGTTGGAATCAAAAGGTGCTTGTCCTCTGGGGAGGCTCGCTTCTTTCAGAATGGAGGTAGGGTTGTGAGCCAAACTCTCGGCTTAAGAGCCAGGACCATGTTCAGGGCTCTCTGTCTAATCATTTTTCTAACACTGATAATGGCAACTTCTTTCTTTAATGATTCCTTTTAATAATCACTGACGAGGGCGGCTGCAGCGAAAGAGCTTGGTGCGACGTCTCACACCATTTTGCTGGTACAGCCTACCAAGAGACCAGAAGGCAGAACTTATGCTGATTATGAATCAGTGAATGAGTGCATGGCAGGCATTTGTAAAATGTATGAAGAACATCTGAAGAGAATGAACCCCAACAGCCCCTCTATCACATATAATATCAGCCAGTTGTTTGATTTTATTGATGATCTGGCGGACCTCAGCTGTCTTGTGTAAGTATTTACCACCATGTATCTTACCCAGACACACCAGCCTTATAACAAAGATTGGATTAAAAAGAAGGTCTACATGCTCCTTCATCCACAGGCCCAACAGGCCTGGAAATAGTTGTGTTGGAAGCATTTGGGGGTTGTGTACAGCTGTCTGTAGTGAAGTTTTGTATCATAGTAATCCTGTTTCCATTTTGGTACACTCTAGCCAGGATTGAATGTGTTAGATGATATGTGAGGATCTTGTTCAATCTGAACACCCATCACCCCCTTTTTTTCTCTTTTTTTACTTAAACATTGTTATGATGACTTAGCAGTTTTTCTTTGTCAGTTAATGTGGATTTCAGTTCTTCATATCTGCTTTATAACATTCACTGTACTAACCCTTCTTCAAGATGGAGTGGGGGGTAGTGACAGTTTAATGATGTGCTAAGATAAAATCGTATTGAAAAACAAATAAATGTTCTTTAGTTATATTAAAAAAAATAATCACTGACGAAACAGGCCACCTTACTCAATTGATCATTAATTTTACCATAGTGAATAAAAACTCATTTTTTCTGATTTAATGAATTTGAATTCTGCAGTGTCACTATTTAATTTTCATTATCAACTGCAAATGTTGAAAATAAATATCATTGCCTGTTATTTAAACAGTCAGACTGTTGGACTTTTGGGGACAGTGGCTAACAAGCAGATGGTAGATAATACATCATTTTTACTCTTGTGATTCTGCATGGATTAACTTTTCAAACTCTGACCTCAGCCGCCTCTGTTTCCCTGGCCAGGCTGGACATAGCCAAGGAGAAGTAGGAGTGTGTGTGTGTGTGTGTGTGTGTGAGTGTGTGTGTGTGTGTGTTTCTTCAAATCTAGGAACTGGGAACACTTCAGTATACACGTTCACTCCCTCTCCAGGCTTCTGGGCTCAGCAGAGTCAGGAAGCCTTCCAAGGTCCCCACACTACTACAGGGCAGCCCCTCTTAGAGGTCTCCTTTGTGAGTCTCCCTGACAGCCCTCATTAGAGCTAAGTAAGTGTCTTAATTCCAGGATGCAGATTGACATAAGTTGTTTTTTTTTAATTGATCTCAATGAATGCCACAGAGAATACAACTCTGATTTTCCTTATGTCCCCTGAATCCTGGGAGAATTCAGAGCCTCCCCCTTGTCCTTTCACATTCAGAGTCTGTACCACATTTCGACTGTATTGATGCTTCAGATAAATGAGGTGATTAAACACCAATGCTAACATTAGGACATTTGTTTGTAATCATATTATCTTAGAGATTAATTAGCTATATAACTTTGGTAAAATCACTGTTTATCCCTGGCGTCAGTCTATTTTTCTGTAAAATGAGAAAACCAAAGCTTGCTACTAACTAAAGGTCCAGTTTAGACATTATATTATTACTAAAGTCCACTTTAAATCTAATATTACTATTCATATCTTCACAATCCATACTATTTTGTAGGTTCATCCATCCATATTTCCCATCCGTAACTTTAATAATGTCTTCATAGTCATCTGCTCTAGCTTTCTTCCACTCCAATCTGTTATTCACAGTGAAGTCAGACATACTGGTAACACCATAAGGGAATTCTGATCATGTCATTTTTGCCTCAAATACTTTTCAGGTTATAGATATGTCTTAATCTACAAATGTAATCAATCCTGATTTTTTTTACTAATTGGTGCCTGATGACACATATACATACTGAACTGCTGTACATTATGACTCTATCAGACCTTGTTCATGCTCAGGGTCTCTGAGGCATCTTCTTATTATATTCAGAATGTTTTTGCTCTTTGCCCTTTGTTTGCCTAAATCTTACAGTTTCTTTAGGATTCAGCTCAGTGATTATTTCCAGTTGGGAGTAAGGAACTTCTTCAAATCTTTCCATCCAAGTTGAGCATAGTTATTTTATGTATTCATATCATACTTTATTTTTTCTTTGATTACTACCATTAGTTTTATTTTTTTCTTCCAGGAATAATCTATATCTATCTATACTAATAATAGCCTAGGTGGCGTCACACCCTCACGTTGTCACAAGATGGTCATCACAAGATGGCTGTGTGCACAGCAGAGATGGGGCCCTGCAGCCACTCCATGCAGAGAGGCCTGGGGGTCGCACAGCTTTGTGCAATGTGGAGGAATCCAGTTCCTGTGTCTCCACCGCCTTGAGCAGAGGAGGCAGGTCCTGGCGGAGAAGGTGGGTTGAGGCAGGGGAGGAGAGTTGTGGGTGATCAGACCAGTAGGGGAAGGGCAGTAGGGGGCTATCAGGCTGGCAGGGGAGGGCAGTTGGGGCCATTGGGCCGGAAGGGGAGAAAATTGGGGGCAATCAGGCCAACAGGGGAGCAGTTAGTAGGCTATCAGACTGGCAGGCAGAAGCCATTAGGGGCAATCAGGCAGGCAGTCGAGCAGTTATGAGCCAGCAGTTCCAGATTGTGAGAGGGATGTTCAAGGGGTTCCTGATTGGAAAGGGTGCCGGCCGGGCTGAAGGACACCCCTCCCGTACACGAATTTCATGCACCCGGCCTCTAGCCCAGCGACCAAATGGCAGAACGACCAGAATGACTGGTCAATCAGTCACTATGATGCGCACTAACCACCAGAGGCAGACGCTCAATGCAGGAGGTGCCCCCTGGTGGCCAGTGAGCTCTCACAGTGGGAGTACCACACAGCTGATCAGGATGAGGGGCACTCCCACCGTGGGTCGATCCCTGCAGGCCATGCCCCCTACCAGTGCAGGAATTCATGCACTGGGCCTCTAGTTGATATATAACATTGTGTAAGTTATGGTTATCACAATGAGTTCAGTTAAAATCTATCACCTCCTATTTTTATAAAAGATATTTTTTCGTTGTGGTGGTAATTTTTGGATCTATGCTCTTAGCAACTTTTAAAAATATATATACATATATATGTGTATATATATATACGTGGAATCGAACCCGGGAATCGAACCTTGACCTCCTGGTTCATAGGTTGATGCTCAACCACTGATCCATGCCAGCTGGGCAGCAATATTTAAATGTAGCATACAGCAGCATTAACTGTATTTAACATGCTACTTATTACATCCCTAGTACTTATGACTGGAAGTTTAGGAATCATTGACCATGAGAAGAATGATTAGGAAGGAGACAGATGATATTAATTTAAGGACTGAGTGTCATAATGTGAAGTCATTAGTACATGATTTTGATTTTTTGGTTCTCAGTTTCTTCATTGTATTATGTTGCTAATAACTTTTTATGCGATTACTGTAATAATATATGTTAATGTGATTTACATAGGTAAATAAAGGATTAAATAATATACATATAAATTTTGTTTAATTGGAATGTAAAGATTCATTTGATTTTAATAACAATGTGCTTGCAAAATGATAAATATAATGGAAAAATGATAAAAACACTTTGTGCAAAAAACATTGTCAATCTTGTGAGCAACACACCAACCTAAAAGCATTTAATTGGCACCTAAACCCTATACTTTGATTTTACTTGAGAAAAATTATAGTTGAATTTTGTTAGGTTAGAACCTCATTTTATCTTTACCCTTCATTATTGGTATACTTTTCACATTATTATAAAGGTCAGAAGAACCCACAGAGTAAAAAGGAAATTAATGGATTTTGAATCAGGAAGAAAAAAAACCTGAACTTTACTCAGAATTCTGTAGTGGCCCTATTCAGTATAGTGTTTCAGGGAAGAACTTGCCAGTGAAATTTGCAGAAGAACTTATGTAAATAGGCTAAAGTACTTTTATGAAGTAGGCTTTAAACATTAGCTTTCTCTTCTCTCTAGTTTAGTATATTGAGATAATAGTTGTTAACATTCTATCTCTTACTCATATTCTCTTTTGTATCACATGCATGTTTTGCATAAATATGTATTTTCTATGCCATTATTTATTTATAAAATAAACATAAACATATGTGTGTAAATACATGTGTTATTCATTCATAAATAAACAGGAATAATGATACATATGTAATATAATATATCATAGGTAAACATATATGAAGATATATTTTTCTTTCATTATTTGTTCTCTTAGGGGAAAATGAATTTCAGTCATGCAACATGTTTTAGTGTTCAGTGAAAGCAAGGTATGTCTTCAACTACAACTTCTATTTTAACAAGAATATCAGTTAATTATGAAATGCTGATTAATTTCTGTTTGTTTTTTCCTGATTGCCCAATTAGACTCTTTTAATATTCTTAGCAGTGTTGTATACCACCTACTCCTCATTCCCACACTCTGTTTTTATATTAATATAATTTTTAAAGGACAGTCTACTGTCAAATTGCTTTCTTCTACTGACCCCTTTTCTTTCATCAGAATCACATTTCTTTAAGAGGAATATCCATGGAAAGATGCAATTTAAAATGCACCTGTGCCCATGATGTTTTTCTAAAAATATGATATGCTATCAAGTATTAAAATGAAAATGTGACTAGATACAAATATAACATTTATCTTCTGTCAATATTTTGTTGCTATGAACCTCAAAGCTTATATGCTATAAATTTAATGAGAATCTTATGTTTAAAATCCCAATGTGTATTTTGGAAAATAATTATTCTTTAGTTTAAATATAATATCATTAAATAAATTAAAATAAAATACATGATACTATTGTCCCATAAGTGGAATTTAGTTTTTCAGTTTTTTTTTCCTTAGAATTAGAAAAAATGATCTATATAGATAGGTTCCATATAGGTTCCATATAAAATTTTAAATTGAAATATAATTTAACATGAGTTAGACATTACTTGCCAACTTAATCATATTTTAAGTAAATTGACATATATAAATTTACATACTGTTCATTATTTCTAGAAACACAGAAGTTACATTGAATAGTCACAGGGCATAAAAGCTTAATTTGTTTACTGCTACTACTTACTTTTCAAATGTGTAAGTATGATTTCCATGGGCATAATTAAATAAAACGTAAATTTACTTCCATGCCTCTTTTTAAAAATTATTTTT